AAAACTTAGAAAGTAACATTCCTCAACCTTATTGCCAATCACAACTGTTAATTCCTGGTGCCAATGGCAACAATAATTTTGAAAGCAGTCATCCTATCTTAAAAGGATTTATATTTCAAAACATTCCCCAGAAACAGTGAACAAGAAATATGCAGCTACTGTACTGCAGATATAGGTTCAGCTCAATTGGGGAAGGTAAGGTTAAAGTCACAGGAAACAGGTGGTCTCAAGAGTGATGTGTGCAAGCCTTTCGAAGAGAAACTTATAAACACTTCCTCACATGCCAGACATCACCTGAATTCTAAAATAAACATTTTTATTAACTGTTTCCATCATTTTCAAAGATTGAAAAAGTCTGATGTCAAGATCTTTAAAAACTTGAAAAAAGGCTTTATGATAAAAAAAGGTTTAAGTACTTAGTTTCAAAGGACTTATCAGATGAAACGTAGTTGAACAACAGTAGTCAGTACTGGTGAGACCCACTTAAAAACTACACTACCCGGTGTTTTTATTTTAATTCAAGTTTGAAATACCAAGGAGCTTTTTCACAGAGTAGATTTAAAAATAAAACCATAACAATTGGCAAGGGTGCTCCACTTGCTGTGGGTCTACGAATTCAAACTCTCGAGAATGGTATGCCAATAATATACACAGACATTTATACTCTAAATACCTGCATGTTCAGCAGCCTATTCCTGCGTTGTCTACAAAATTAGAGTAATTTAATCCTGCATGTAGAAATAACTTTTCAAACTTGAGATTACTGATTTCAATTACTGATTTTAAGTAATTTAGATTGCATATTTCCAGTGTGAACATGTTTACATATATACCAAACAAAAGGCCATTGTATGGCAAGTTAACTGTGTGGAACAAAATTCAATTTTTCCACTTTCAATTTCCACTGAAAAAAGATGTTATCCTCTACAACTAAATTACCAGCAAATCCTTATATTATATGGGGTAGCGGAGTAACCTGCACTACAGCCTTATCAATGTTCACTTAGGTTCTTAGAGTTTATCTGAAATAAAAGTCTGAAAATGAGGAATCGAGACAGTCAGCATTTCAACTTTTGAGAATAAAAGTTCAAACATACCTTTTGTTGAATTCCAGCTTAAGTGATTTTTATGTAAATCTTGCAGGTGATGAAAAGCAAAAAGCAACCAATCTCTCTGTAGTGTTTAGCCTGTTCTTTAATACTATGGGTCACCTGCCCCCAGAAATTCCTAATTGAACAAGGAATCCATGGGGCAAAGTAATTGTTTTTCAAAGGTGGGTCAGAACGGAACATTTATATCTTCACTCCAACAGGCAAGCATGAAATGTAATCCTTGAGTATCACATTTTTGGTAGATGCTACCGTGGTCTCTTATCCTTATTTCATGGGATCATTAGCCTGTGAATGTGTCCATGTTTTGACTTTAGAAATTTTTTAAACATGTTATTCCTGTGTTTCCTCTAACACCTCAATATGTATATACATAACATCTTCATTTCTCATCAAATGTTGTTTCAGCACAACCAGTGTGCAACTGATTTTCAGAGTTCACAGAACCTATCTTCTAAGAAAAAATACTTTTAGCTGAACCTCTATAATCATGACAAGAGATTGATTAAAATGCCAAGATAAGAAACAATTTATTATAGAGAGAAGAAAAATTTCTCATCCAAAATATAGAAATCTGTACAACTTTGCCACAATCAATATACATGAACTGTACAAATTTACACCAGTTCATAATTTACCAAATAAAAGATGACTAACAAAGTTCACAAAATAGATGGTGGTTTGTGGAAAAGACTTTTACCCAATTAAGTACAAGGAAAGTTACAAACCAGACCTCCACTTTCTAAAAATAAGAAGTTTACTCAGTCTTAGAAAACTACAAGCTAGCAAATGTACAGAGAGCTGGCTGGTGCTAACACCACAGTTGAGACAGTGTCTTTTTAAGGGTCTTTTTAAAAGCCTGTTGCCATGGCAGATTCTGGTCACTTGCTACTTTCAAGGCCAAAAACACAATACAAGGTCTGACCATTTCCCCAGGTCATGCTTACTAGTTTGTCTTTATGTACATTTATACATATTTAAGTGCTAGGTAAAAGTCTTGTAAAATTTCCAGTACTATCATGTTTGAAATGTTTAGCTTTCCTATTGAGCTGCCAAAAAGGTTAACAATAACAATTTTCAAGTGTAATAGTGCAAATTCCTCTGCGAGACTTACTGCAGAGAAAGATTCTTTGAAATACAGATTTTCTTTAAAGGGATTGATGTAAAAATTTAGGTATGTCTGCAAGAAACTGAAACCACCCTAGGACTTCCCTCCCTAGCAAATAAAGTGATCATTTACTTGGACTCACAGGCTATTAAAATTAATCATTGAAAGGTACTGTCCAAACTATGGCACTGTCACTTAAAAAATTTTTTTTACCACTCTATCTTGTGCCAGATCTTCACAGCTGTGACACGGTTTAAATTCCATAATCCATCCCCAAGAGGAGCCCACCCAAAGCAAAAATCAAATTTATCCATCATTATAAGATGATCCATCCATAGACTATATCTTAACCTGATACAGTCATCATATTGTAGTTTTTGGAAGGGCTCGTTCTGCCCAAGAGAAGTTCCTCCTTACAGCTGATTCTGCTGTCTACCACTTGCACGTTGGTGCTGTTTTGAGTGCTACCTCCTGCTGGTGAGGCTTCATACAGCACACAGATGGAGCCATCCTCTCCAATTCTGTAGGACACTTCGTAAGGGTCAACCCAGAGTGTGAGTTCACTTGGGAGAAGCCTGAACAGCTCCTGACTGCTCAGTCCAATCCGCTGTGCTGCCTGTCCAATCAGAGGATCCATTTTATGGTTGATGCGAATACAACGGTAACCCGATCCCTTGCATGGCTTTTCTGGGAACCAGTGATGTTTATAATGTTCTATAGAAGAAAAGAAGAACAGAGAAACAATGCTTAGGATCGTTAGATAGCTCCTGCTGTTGTTTCCTCCTACCGCAGGCTCCTTTGAGGCGTGAAAATGAAAACTACCAACTTTTAAAAACGTCCAGGATTGCATCCGTTATTGTGTATGTGCGGGGACGGGGAAGGGACGGGCAGGGTTTTGGAAATAACACAGTAGTACGGGACAAAACAATCTCCAGGAACCAACCGGTTGAGCCGCCAAAACAGGAATCAGGCGCGCAGCTCCGCCAGCCGGGAAGCCGGTGGCACCTACGGCCAGGCGGGAACCTGTTTACTTTCTCCACCCCATCCCAGCCGCACACAATGGAGTTGATGGCTTTGGGGATGAGAAGCGCCACCAAACTGTTAACCCCGAAGGGAAGAAAAACAAGCAATCCTAAACCACGCTCTGGGCAGGGCTGTAATTGTGCCGGTGACAAATCCGATGATTAATGGGCAGGGGCAGGAGGCGCGGGGAGACTGCACGTCCGTCCCGAGCTGGCTCCGGGGCAGCGGCGAGGCTTCCCACCCCGGGTCTGGGCCGCCGACCACACAACGGTTGGAGGGAGCTGGGGGAAGTGGGCGTCGAACCCACCTCAGCCCCGCGGCTCCTTTGTCCCCAAATCGGCGGACGGCCCTCGGACCGCAGCTCCCGCCTCAGTGGGCTTAAGTTTCTTTGTTGTGCGTGTTTTCTTCTCCCCTCCGTTCTGCCAGCTGGGGGGAGGGGGCGCCATCCGTCCAGACCCCAAAGCCTCGCTGGGAGCCGCCGTTAGCAGCCGCCCAGCGAGACCACACCGGTCCCGCCGCGCAGCTCGAGCGCGACCGGCCCCGGGGCGCTGCCGAGGCTTCCGCAGCCCCGACGGCCGGACTCTGACACAAGGATGTGGAGCCCGCGTCCCCCCGACGCCCTCGCCCGGCTCACCTGCCAGCAGCTCCTGCAGGCTCTGGCTGAAGGTCTGCAGCTGTCGCTCGCTCGTGAGCCCCTTGGTGCGGAGGAACTTGGAGATGAAGGACACGGCGGCAGCAATCTCGCCTATCATGGTGGCAGCCCGGGTGTAGAAGGGATGCATGGGGGCGGCGGGAGGAGGCGGCCCGGGGCGGCCGGGGCTCGGCGGCGCGGCCCCGACGGCGGAGCGGCCACCCCGGGCTTCCTCACCGGGAGGAAAGCTGAGAGGAAGAGAGGGCGTGAGGAGCGGACGGCTTTTTTTTTTCTTTCTTTAGACTAAAAAAGTTATTTTCGAGACAGGAGGCGGCAGGAGAGAAGAGGAGACGAGCGATGGCGGCCTGGTCACATCGCTCGGACCTCCCCAGCCGCCTCCGCCTCCAGCTCCGCAGCATCCGAAGATCCCAACAGCTGCATTTCCAGCTCCGAGGGGCGAAGAGATGCCACCGCCGTGCAGCACCCTTTATAGAGCCGCGAAAAGGAAGTGGCGTAGCTGGAGCGTGACGGCCGACTCCAGCCAATCCGAAGATCGCACCATTGTGACGCAAGCAGGTTCCGAGCCGAAAGGGGCGGGAAAACGGTCCAGGAGGCGGGTCCAGAGACAGGGAAGAGAGGGAGGAGCTGACGTAATCCGCTTGTAAACAAATAAACCCAGAGTGGCGGCTGGAGAGCCAGTTGCTGGGCCGAGGGACGGAGGGAACCGGGGGTGCGCGTGTGAAAGCTCCGCCCCCAGCCCTAGGTCCGCCTTCCCGTTTCAGCAGGTCCAGGCTCTGCGCCAGTGCATCCTTCAGCAAGAGTGCGCTACCCGGACGCTACCCGGACCCACTTGCCCTGGAGGGTTATTGCTGGGTAGAAAAGAACTACCTGGCGCAGGCAGTGCCTTCACGCGCTGCCTTCCTCAGATTGGGCTGCGTGTCCCCACTGCGTGTTTACATCTCGTTCCCGCTCCGGGTTTCGGTGACTGGCTCCTCGAGCCAGAGGCGCGTGTGGTGCGGCGCGATAGGGGCGCCCGCGCTGTGGGCGCAGGCGGTGCGCTGCGCGAGTGCGGGAAAAGTGAAGGGAATGGTCTCACTGGGCGTTCTGCCCGAGAACAGAACTGCAGCCTCGGGGAGCCAGGGTCCCCTCGAAGACGAGCTGTCTACGCCGCGGAGCCGTTTCTGCTCCACCCAAGGGGAGGAGTAGGGGGATGTCTTTGTAAAAGTTTAATTGCAAAATAAGTGGGTTAGTAAGGCCATTTGTGGTTGCTGTTTCAGTAACTTCAGCAGTCAGCGGAGAGAACAGTGGAAACCTTACTGGATGCGGACAGGAGAGCCAGTTACTGAAGACAACGCAGATCCTGTAAATCGTGGTCTGTAAAAAACAAACTACAGTGTATTTTAAAACTTGGGTACACAAAACCAAAGATTTTCTTTTTTTTTCTAGTCCAAATGCCGTCCTAGTCTTAGAGTCCTACTCTTTATTAAAAATAAGAGAAATTAAAAAATTGAGGCTTCTGAAAGTAAGCTTGTTTGAAACCCTACCAAAAAAACAAACAAAAAAAAACTTTAGAAAACAGTGTAGCAGGAAGGCAGGAGCCTGCTAAAACGATTAGGACTAAGACAGGGTTAACCTGAACTCCCATTAAGGAGAAGGGGGAAAAGAAAAAAAACAAAAAGATGAAGAGAGGCAGGCAGATGGAGAAAGCAAACAGGAGGCAGAAGTTGAACTCTACCAGATGGAAATAAATATCCCCAGCTTAGTTGGTCATCAATATTGCAAAACACACCACTTTGAGTTTGTTTTTTTTAAATACTGAGCTAAGGATGTAGAAATAAAGCAAAAGTATGACATTATAAAACAGGAGAAAACGTTTTATTGTTGAAAAATATGAAAAACTCGATTAAGAAATAACAGATTATTTTTTCTTCATTAGTGTACATAAGTAGTTACATGTGAAATAAAGATAGTGGGTTTTTTTTTCTTAAACTTTTCAGAAAGAACTGTGCTTAAAAATAATAGTTTCAGTGGAGGCATGAAACCTCTTTTACTACTCAAAAAGAAGAGAGAAGCAAAAGTAAATTCATGAAATTACCATAGCCCTAGAAGAAGAACTCCTGATCTCCCTTCTAACCTGACCCACCCTTCGTCCCCTGCTCTGTTCCTTTCCCTTACATTGTCTTTAATATGTCACCGAGTACAAATTAGGACTCAAGTGAAAGTTTTTCTCTTCTAAAACTGGTCTTCATTTTGGCCTCTCGGTCACTCTCTTCTTAAATTGACTCATCTAAAAAACAGAAATAGTTAAATCAACAAAAATGCTAGGATTGGACTCAAGACTTCCCCCAAGCCCGTGTTCATCCCACTACTTTTAACTGCCTGCACTAGCAGCTGCAGGACCTCTTCTGAAAGCCTTATAAAACCAGTTGAACAGGGTTAACAGAAAGTTTAACCCACAGACTCAGGGAGAGTTATTTCTCGAACTGAGTTCTTTTTTTTTTTTTAATCATATATGTGTTTCCCACCTTAAATCATCCCATTAGGAGACAAATAGATTTGAGAAACTACAATAATATTTAACCTGGGGAATCTAGAGAGTACTCAGAAAAAAATGAAAATGAACTTGGTCTTAAATGTAAGCCTCAGATGGTACAGGATGTTAATTGCTAATAGTTTTCAATTCTGGACATAATTTTATATGTTTAGTATCATTTTCTGGAAGTTTAGTCAGGCCCTTTCCATCTGGGAAACAAGCCGGGATTTCTTGACAGCCTTTGAATTATAAAGGTGCTTTCTGTGTTACTATGCTAAGTTTACCAAGGCTCTCCCAAGTACTTTATTACTATTATGCAATTTGGTAGTAATGTTTCAAATTAATTTTTTTTTTTTTTTTAGAATGAGTCTAGCTCTGTCACCCAGGCTGGAACGCAGTGACATGATCTTGGCGCACTGCAGCCACCAACTCCTAGGGTTCAACTGATTCTCCTGCCTCAGCCTCCTAAGTACCTGGGATTACAGCTGTGCACCACCCCACCCAGCTAATTTTGTGTTTTTAGTAGAGATGGGGTTTCATCATGTTGGTCAGGCTGGTCTGGAACTCCTGGCCTCAAGTCATCCACTTGCCGGGGCCTCTCAAAGTGCTGGGATTACAGGCATGGGCCACCGTGCTTGGCCTGTCAAATTAATTTCTAAAACTTAGAACAGTTCTAATCAAAGTATTAAAAATCTCAGGAATGCTGTCCAAACAAATTCAAAAAATGAACCTGGGTTTTAAAATAAGTAGACAAAAGCGCAATTATCAGATATTGTTTCCCCAGTTGGACCTGCCCTTTCCCTGAAGGCACATTCAGGGCCAGGGCCTTCCAGACTGAGCCAGAGGCAGCCTGCCTGTTATTAGTCAGCCAGCTGCAGTCACTAAAGTTGTGCATGTTATGAACCTACTTCCAGATAGAGTGCTAGGTGTCTAGAAAACTCACAACTTAACCAATAAGTAGGAGTCAAGTGAGAGAATTCTTGAGAGAGTGTTAATGGCAAATAGAAACAGGTCATTTATTTGTGTGCTTTGGGGCAGAGGGAAAATAAGAAAGCCCCAAAAGTGAGTGATGTCAGCTAAGCCAGTGAAAGTGACCCATGATTAGTTCTCCTTGGAGCAAAGGAAAACAAGGGCCGGATCTTGGAGTATCTTAAAGGTATAAACCAAGGAGGGTAAGTATTGTTGAAAAACTGGGTAGATGGAGGCAGGCATAGAGTACTTGGGAATATTTTTAGCAGGCAGATTATATGATCAGGTTTACTTACCTTTAAGTAATTGAGCTTTCCTGTGGGCTTATATCTTCAACTAGAGACCTATGCTTCTTATTTGTCTATTTTTTGGTGACCCATATAAAGCAGGAGACCACTTTTAGTTGCCTCCCGGCTAGCACCCTGACTTGTTTTGCTTGGGTAAGAATCCAAGGACACAAGCTAAGACATTTGCACTGGGTTTAGATCTGTTGCGTTTCAGAAAACACAGAAGAACTTGGCAATCAGAGGGTGACACATACTGATTTTAGACAAAACTCGGTTTTTTGTGGAAGCTATTCAGATTGTTTGGAGAGTGGGAGGAAGAGGGAGTGAAGCGTTGCTTAACAGCAGAAGTAATAATGCAGGTTATTATCATTTTATGATTAACAGTGCATCAGTGCTAAGCGTTTTACATGTTTCCTTTGTTTTTTTTTTTTTTTTTTTTTGAGACAGGGTCTCACTCTATTGCCACCATGCCTGGCTAATTTTTGTATTTTTTGGTAGAGATAGGGTTTCACCATGTTGCCAAGGCTGGTTTTGAACTCTTGCGCCCAGAGGATTCACCCACCTTTGCCTGTAATTCCAGCACTTTGTAATTCCAAAGTGCTGGAATTACAGGCATGAGCCACCACACCAGCTATGATGCCTCATTTTAATTCTCTAAGAAACCCAATCAAGTGAGTCTAGTTGACAGCATTTAACATATGAGAATACAGTCTTAAAGAAAATAAGTAATTTACCCAAGGTTTTAAAACCAGATTTGAACTCTCAAGTCACTGACTACAAAATTTGAGCTCTAAATACCTGGTAGGTTTTTCAAGGGAGCTCCTGATACTAGCTTTCCTAAAAAGGATCTTGAGAAATAAAACTTGATAATAGTTAAAAGACCATCTGGAGATGAGTAGAGATAGTAGAAGAAAAAAAAAAACCAAAACTCAAAGCAGCTGAGGGGATATCTCATAGCTGACATACCCTGGAAAATACAGCTACATTTATTAAAAGGCTCAATGGAAAATGAAACAAAGGACATATTAAAATGTTAATTTGCCAAATAATTTAACTGGAATAAAAATTATCCCTAAATACAGATAAGTGAAAGTAGCAAAAATGCTTTCTATTTAAGACTAAACTTTTCATTTCCCCTTTGGCCTAAATTGACAAGAGGAACCAGGGGCCTGGTCAGTTCCACAATCTCTCTTGCCCAGCAACTGAAGAAAGCCCTGGAGGGTTGGGTGGAGGAGGTGGGAGGGAAAGCAAGAAGGGATTGTTTTGTGTCGAGGTCACTGTTGAATTGGATCAGTTGGCCTCCAGGAATTTTCAGTAAACTTTGTATTGTATATAGCCTCAGGGCCATTTCTCAAAGCAGGGCTCCTCCCAAACCTTCTTTTCCTTCCTGGCGTCAGAACCTCTGGGCCTATCTTTTTTTTCTTTTTTTTTTTTAGTGATGGGGTTTCACCATGTTGACCAGGATGGTCTTGATCTCTTGACCTGGTGATCCACCGCCTCGGCCTCCCAAAGTGCTGGGATTATAGGCGTGAGCCTATCTCTTTTTAAAGCTCTCACCATCTATTTTGTCACTGGAGGCAGCCCTCTGGTGGTCAGGGTTACTGAGTGTGTATCTGCACCTCCCCAGCTGCCAAAGACTTCTTCAGTTTTAAGGTTTAACAGTAGAATGGGGAAAGAAATGATAAGAATCAACTCTGGAACATTGCAAACTTTGAAGAATCCTACAAAGTTCTTACAAATTATAATCCTGGCCTTTAGTACTTATAACTTTCTGAATGAGGAGGAAGGGTACATGGACCTCCCCTTCCTTTTATTTACTTAGTTTTTGAGGCAGGGTCTGTCACTCTGTCACCCAGGCTGGAGTGCAGTGGCACAATCACAGCTCACAGCAGCCTCTACCTCTCAGGCTCAAGTTATCCTCCCTGCACCCTGCAGCCCTCCCCACCTCAGCATCCTGAGTAGCTGGGACTACAGGTGCACACTACCATGCCTAGCTAATTTTTTTAGTTTATGAGATGGGGTCTCCCTATGTTGCCCAGGCTACTCTTGAACTGCTGGTCTCAAGCAGTCCTCCCTCCTCAGCCTCCCAAAGTGCTAGGATTATAGGCGTGAGCCACTGTGTCCAGCCTCCCCTTTCCCTTAAACTAATGAACCAAGGGATTGGGACTTCTCAGTGGTTCTCCCAATGTGTTCCTCAAACCAGCAGCGTCAGAGTCATTCTGGGAACTTGATAGAAATGCAAAATTTTGGCTTCACTCTAAACCTACGAATTAAAAACTCTGGGGGTAGGGTACTATCTAGGCACTAATGTTGGAGAACCATTGCTTTGAAAAGTAATGGCAAAATTCTGTAATTAAAAACATCGAAGAAATGCCTACACTTCCATGTTTATTGTAGTATTATTCACAATAGCCAATATATGGAGTCAACCTAAGTGTCCTTCAGTGGGTGAATGGATAAAGAAAATGTGACATATATACACAATGAAACATTCAGCCATTGATAAAAGAATGAAATTCTGTCCTTTGCAGCAACATGAATGGAACTGGAGGTCATCATGTTAAATAGGCTTC